TGGCTTCTAATATTAGTCTGTGTTAGAGAGAGCAGACAACAGACCCCTGGGACTAGTTGCCCTCTAATGAAACGCTGTGTTAGACTGAGGAAACCTCTGGAAATAGTTGGAGACCGTTTTAACAGAAGACCGGACGACTGGTAAAATTGAGCCCTGTAGAGTGACCAATGCGGCATAGGGAATGCGTGCCCGCCGAATTTGCGATTCCCAAACCGTATAGCTATGGAAGAAAAATTGAGCAACGTGATTGGCTAGAAAATGTTTAGGACGCGCCCATTATCGCACGCACACCATCGCCGATGATCGCGCATTTTGCACAGGGGCTTATATATATTTATTTTATTTCTTATTATTTTTGGCTAATTTTGTTTTATTTTAGAATTAGGGTTAGGGTTAGGGTTAGGATTAGGGTTAGGGTTAGGGTTAGGGTTAGGGTTAACTGATTTCTATGTCTACGTATTTCATGTTTGTGTCCGTGGGTCATCGCTAGAGCGTTCGCTTCGTGGTCGTAAGGTACTGCGTTCGAACGCCATAAGGTCTTTTTATTTTACTCTGCGTTATGTATTTCTTTGTATTTGATTTGTTTCTGCATTTATTTGTTTTGTAACTTTTGTTTATGTTCTGAATTAAATATATTTCTTTATAATATTAGCTTATAATTTATTATATTAGCTTGTTGACTAATAATAATGCGTGTCCTAAATTTTTTCTAGCCAATCACGTTGCTCACGTTGCTATACGGTTTGGGAATCGCAAATTCGCTGCCCGCCCATGCTGATGCAGGTGCTCTGTGTTTGCTTTGCAGTATGCACTAGAGAGGTTGAAGATCATGTGTGAAGAAGCTCTCTGCTCAAACATGAACATAGACAACGTAGCTGACGTCCTCATCCTCGCAGATCAACACAGGGGTTAGCCTTTGCCAAGAGGTGAGTGAGGTGACCACGTCACCTTGAATAGTACTGGCAAAATTCATTTCGATCAACGTAAACAAACACTCGCAATCAATAAAGACAGTGTTTCCCATAATGAGCACTTGGTGTCTGTCCGGTAAGGTAAAGCGGCCCTGATTTTTTATGGGGGAGTCTTTGACTAGTTTAGACCCGTTTTTATTGATTAACTTTTCGTGGGTATTAAATAAAATCATTGAATTTTGAGTTCAATTAAAAAATGTGCCCACATTTTTTTCTCGAAAATAAAATATTACCTGATCGATATGATTGCATTTATCAATTTTGTATAATGAAATAAATTTTGATGGTGACATTGATTATTCTAAAATTTGAAAATATTACGCAAAATTGGAAAGAGAATTGCTCGTGTGTAGACGGCGACAGAGAGAGAGAGTAGACTTCGATGTAACGATGGATTTTTCTTATTCGTTGTAGCCACTCAGACTTTATAGGGAGCCTGGGATGGCGGAAAATAATTACACATCATGACCTCTACAGAGAAGTAATGTGCAACTTAGCGAGCCAGCCGCTAATCCAATCAAACAGACTTTCCTGGCATCGGAACTCGATACAGCGCAGAAGAACAGGCCGAAAATAATAGACGGCAAGGAAGGAGACGGAAGACATCCACATGGAACACGATGTTCCAGTTGATATAGACACATATACACAGATATAGAGGCATATTATATAGACACGCAGATGAGACAGTCTGTGGTGTCACACTCGTCTGGTTTGTTTTACAAGATTTCATTGACAATATCTTTAATGCAAAATTGGTATTTTCTCTCCACCCTGCCGATAAAACGTCTATATTAAAGTAAAGTTTTACAAAACATGTCGGTGCGTTAGGGAACGCAGGCATATAACCTATTTCATTTTCGAACGCCATCGCCTAAGAAAATCAAAGCGGGTATAGCGCCATTCTACTATCGTTCACAGATTGTGTTACATTTTGGTATTATACAATTATTTACTTGCCGCAGTATACACGATGGAACCGTGGTACCGTCGTAGGGAAAAAAACGTCATGACGACAGTAGAACAGCTTTCCATGCGCTTCCTTCCTTCCTTTCCATTCCATTTCCATTTTCCCATTTTCTCATTTCCCGTGCCAGAACAACCATATATACATTGTTCGGCAGGCAATATATACAATGTATATATGTCATGTATTACATTGATTCCATAGATAATATACCACATTACTGACAACATATATACAAGCATGTTGTATATATCTATGATGTAATTCTAAGGCATTTGGTCAAAGTGTTGCAGGGCTGCTTTTGATGGATATAAGCTATTTTGTAATTAAAGGTGATTGCGAGTAATTGCTGTGTTGGCAAACTATAGTGATGTTAGTGATGCGTCTGCCTAAGGCAGATGTAATATCTGTTGTAAGCAAACGAAGTACTCTACACTGTGGATCGGGTGACTTATGTTCACATACTATTACATTTGATGCGTTTACAAAACTAACTTTTGAAGAAAAACATGGATGTAAGCAGTTTGCAAACAAGCTCTTTCATTTCTACTCGTAGAACCGTAAGAAGTGAAAAATAGGAGTATAGTGATGTTTCTGTTATACTATGCTTTTGTAAGACACTTGTTTAGATCGAATTTGACCATTCCAAGTAGGTTTTTCACTGAGGTGTCACCTGCTGACAAGTTTTTGCTATTACGTCTCTACAATCACTGCCATATAATTATGATCAATACTATACTGCATATGCTACTATATAGCGCATCTGGGACGGATAGGATTTCAAGAGCGTATTTAGAGTCTAGCGACTATTGTGCTGTGATCGATGACGACAGCTTGGAATAATCCGACGCGCACGCACAGACCATTGTTGCCTGCCTTCCCGCAATTGAAAGCATTAAAATACGTTGACAAGAAACTGGGTGATAGGTATTTTTTGCGAATGTTCCGCTGTCCGGCGTCGCCGCGTCCTTCGCGGACCCGCCCACCCGATCCTAAATGCGGTAACAATGGAGAAAATGCGAAATCACTTCGGCGTCCTGATCGCGTCATGGTTGTTTTTTCATGCCCTCCTATTTTCCTTTTGGATGTTGCTTTTGTCTCCGTGCTTTACTCGTGCGGTATTGCTGCCGCGAACACAGTCAGCTTGTTCGTATTTCTCGCGACCTCTCGTCAACGCTCTCGTCCTTACAGTCGACTGCCCCCAGAGTTTTTTATTAGGCCTCTATACAGACTTAGCAGAATATCCCACCTCGCCAAAATTGTGAATGAACTTATTATAAAAATTCATGATATTAAAATTACTCCAATACGCGAAAGCGAGAAAAGAAGAGAAAGCAGACGATACAGTGGTAAGAGAGGGAGGGCGAGAGAGGGATGGAGAGAGAGAGAAAGAGAAGAGAAAGAAGAAGCGGTTATGAGAAAAGAGAAAAGAGCGAAAAGCAGGAACAGAGACAATGGAAAGAGCAGTTTAGAGAGAGACGAGACGAGAGGAGAGAGAGAGAGGAGGGCAGTGAAAGAAAGGCAGAAGAGAGAGAGAGAGACAAAGAACGAAATAGATAATATTTCGCGATAATATTAAAACGCGAATATAATTGAGAACATACATATTTAGCCAATGTGTAAATTTATGGAGAATGTTGAGCGTCGCATGGAAGAGCACATCTCCAATGGGCGATGTAACAGTATACGACCACATAATGATTAAACTGACCGTCAGAAAATAAATATATGTTTAACATCAAATTAATGCTTTCTCTGAGGAGTTATTTTGAGTTGCGATTACAGACTGCAATGCTATACACATGACGCACGAATATAACTGAGAAAAACAGTACTTATATTGAGCAAGCTTGTAATTTATGGAGCACATGTTCGAGGATCAGACCGGAGCGCTACTCCAAGGCCCCGCATGTTAAGGCATATACTGACAAATAATGCATTATACATGACGCTCAGAACTATGTTAACATCAATGCTTTCTCTGAGGGAGGTATTTTGATGACGATCTACAGCGATGAAGATGATATACACACTGACGGCGAATATAATTGATGAAAACATAATATTTAGCAAGTGTATTGATTGGCAGCACATTTTGAGGCTTGCATGGAGCACACTCTCCAAGGCCGTGTAAACACATATTACTGACGCATATGATTAACACGAGTCAGAAAATAAATATATGTAACATCAAATTAATGCTTTCTATTGAGGCAGTTATTTTGATGCGATTACAGATGAATGGTATACACATGACGCGAATATAATGAGAAAACCATACATCATTAGCAAGTGTAATTTATGGAGCCATCTCCAAGGCGCATGTAACATATCACTGACACAGAATGATTAACACGACGTCAGAAATAAATTATGTACATATCAAATTTAATTGCTTTCACTGAGGATGTTCATTTTTGATTGCCGATTACAGATGAGAATGTATACAATGACTGCGAATAATATGGGGGGAAAAATACATATATTAGCAAGTGTAATTTATGGAGAATGTGAGCGTCGATGCGAGCATATCCTCTAAGGCGTGTATACAACATATACTGACACAAAATGATGTAAACATGACGTCAGAACTAATGTAACATCAATGCTTCTCTGAGGACACTCGCGGTAAGCTAAGGGGGGGGGGGCCACAACGGGCCTTGGCCCCCCCCCTGTGGAGTCTGTGCCAAAAAATCAAAAAACAAAATTTCCCTTTGGCTTCGACGCGTCTTTCACAGGACTGCCACGCAGCTTGCGTGTGTATCGGTGCTGCGCGCCCATCTGCCTCGCAACGAACGCTTCTCCTAACCGAGCTCGAAGCCCTCGTATTGTTCAAGCTGGGAGAAGGAGTTCGTGTCCTAGCAATTGATCACCCGAGCCACGATTCTCTG